ACCGATTAAAAAAATAATAATTATGTGATAAATATCGGTGATTGGCCATGATCGGTCCTCATGGGTGATCGGAATCGGAATTGGCAGGAAAAAACCTGATCGGCACATCTCTAGTTTGTACAGATAAATTATGAAATATGAACAGATTCGCAGGGCACTGGCGGTGTGTGAAAAAAATTATGATCCTTAGGGGAGGCATGACAGAAAATAATTGAGAAACAATGACATAGAGACAGATGAAACAAACAAACATTCACCATCACCTCTACTCAGTACCAGAGTAAGCATTTAAATAAACACATGCTATAAGAAAACCAAAGCAAACATGGGAAATGTACCATCTCCTTTCTGCAAGCCAACGATTAATCAGGCAAACCACCACTGCCCTATCTTTAAAATGGAACAGAAATGATGTAACATTTGGAGCAATACAGATCAGACTATGGCCGTGTTTTGGGCTGAATGTGGTGAGGTCAAACCGTGGAGTGGACAAGTTTAAGAAACAAGGCTGATGAGAAGAGACTGGAAAAGTGGAGATGGAGGAGTGTGGGGGGGCTCACTCCATCGTCCTTCACTTCACACATTGTAAAAACCAGTGCCGCGGGCAGAAAGCAGTCCTGCACCAACAACGTCCCATGAAAGCAGAAATAACAGTGATCCACCAAAGTGAACACGCCAAGCAAAATTAACGAGTTGCAAGATTCGTCCCCTGTTCAACCAATTTCCCCAATTGGGAATGAGCCCGTGATGGGCCAGAACAAATAAAGCTTGTCCATGCATGCATATTTACTCACCATCCGGAGACGTTTCACACTCGCATTGATGAAACAAACATAGGGAACATTTTAAATTTATATTTTTTATCTTCGGGGACCAAAGGACAGTCAAGCACAAAAGATAGAAAATGACTCTGTGCTCAAGACTCTTTGTGATGTATCAACTTGTTTTTATCTAAAGCATTTTAACATGTCAAACTCAGCACTGAGAGGACTTTGACATTTCTAAAACTTTGACATTTCTTTACACATAAGATGTAAAGGACTTGTTATTAAGTACGCTACAGTGGCAACACTGTGGGGGTGTTTTGTTTTTTTAACCATGGAAGGATAATGGCTTAGCTGAAAGATGTGAATGCATATGATTCAACATTAATGCTAGTTAGATCACATTCTTCTGGCCATAAGTGAGAAATAAATGTCTCCTAAACATGCATTCTCTGTAAAAGATAGTCTTTGTAGAAGCACCCTACTTTTCCATTTTAACAGTGCATGAACAAAACTTTCTCCCTGCTGTGTCTCTGGTTCCTCACAATACTGTTTGTTCTCCAATGTTCTATATGTAACCGGGTGGTTTGGCTGGAAGACATAGTTTACATCCAGTGGTTGCAAATTCCCACCCAGTCAGGGCTCTTGAACACATCTAGGCCCCGTTCCCCACCATCACTTCCGTTCACAGCCTTGTTGGGCTCATTAAGCGTATATAGGCACCGGGTGTGCACGCCAATCTGTGTGTGTTTGTTTGGTCCGTTGGTTGAGTTGGCTCTCAGGTCAGATGAGCGCTGGCGCTGTGCTCATCGGGTTGCTGTGAGTGTTCGGATCGTGGACATTTAATACTGATTGCTGCGGTTGCCTCTTGTGCTCCCACAAACCATTCAGAACCACAAACCATTCAGAATCACAAACAGTGCATAGCTCCTTATTTTTATTAGCGTGTTGGGCACAGCCTTGGGACTGGGTTGGGGCAATGCAGGATTTGTTTTTNTTATTATTATTATTATTATTATTATATAGTAATAATACTACGAGAACCAAGTTGTAGCAGAATAGTTATATTGGCAGAATAAAGATGCAATATTGCCTGAAGAAAGTTGTTAAATTAAAAAGCTTCAATAGTGATATGTAACGTGACCCACACAGCAAGTCCAGTTCTTTCTGTTAAATAAAAAGTTGTTTATTTCAAATTGTTTCAAAGGCCTGGGGCTGAAAATTTGCTTCTTATATGCTAAAACATTTAGTATTTACTCATTTGTTAAACCAATACCAACTATAACCTTGCAAGATCAGTATTTCATAATTTAGGGCAGTATGGTGAAAAGTTATCATAAACTTATGACTTTATTCTCGTCCAACTTTACTTGTACTTAAAATACAAATCAAAAACTCAGAGCCTGGCTCTTATGCTCCATCATAAGCAAGTAACTGTAACTCACAGAAAAAAGCTAGACGAAACCTATCTTTTTATTGTTAATGCAAAATGTTAAGCACTTTTCATCTCTTCTCATCTGACAAGTTGAAGTATAAGCAATATGCTGCAATTTTTTCCACAATAAATGTTAAATGCACATCCCAGTGAATCAATTGCACTTTTTCTCTTTCAAACTGAGTATTCTTGATTAAATGTTAAACTGATTTTGAAAAATTATTTTGAGACTTAGAACAATAAAACAGCAGTTTTGATAATACGGTCATACAATGCTGGAGCCAGTGGTTTGTACTAGAGGTGTGCCGATCAATTAGCCACCAATCATAATTGGTCAATTTCCGTGAAAAAGTGTATGATCGGTAATCGCCGATCATGGTCTCTTGTTGCCGATCACACAAGCTGATCGCCTGCATCTCATTTCGCAGCCTGCATGTGCAGCTGATCTCCTCTTTCCTTCACATTGCGCAAACGCACAGCAACAAATCCTAAGCGATATGGAACTTGAACGCTCTGAGTGAATGGGGAAGTTGGCATGTTGCGGCAGAAAATTACCTCAGGTTCGGGGGTGAAGCACGTCAAAATGCATCAACACGACGAATCTAATATGGCATAAAAACAATGACATACTTGACTGAGTTTGGCTGCATCAAGTAAAAAAAAGACATATGGAGCGATCAGACAGCAGGTAAAGCAGCGCACACCCTGCCAGCACGCCTAGGTGGGCCCCATATGGGTTTGTCCGCGGGTTCCACAGTGCCCTCTCATGGGTTTGCCCATGTAGGGCCACAGCCCACATGGGCCCTACATGGTGGTGGGCCCACATGAGTTTGCCCATGTAGGGCCCACGTAGGCTGTGGCCCTACATGGGCAAACCCATGAGAGGCCACTGTGGAACCCGCGGACAAACCCATATGGGACCCATATGTCTGCCCCTTTTCCCCCCATATGGGGCCCACCTAGGCATGCTGGCTCACCTGGATTAGCATGACGGTCAGAAAGCTAAACAAATAATCCGCGCTACAGGTAGTAATATTTCACAGACGGAGCGCCGCTTCTGCTCCACCTGAACTCTCACACCGAACCTCTGTTTAAAAATGTATCATTTAACTTAAAAAAATAAATTTTACATACGTATTAAAACTTTCACTGTCCTAACATGAGACAAACAATCTCTGAAAAAATAATCGATCTCCTCCCTGTTCTGCATAATTACTCCGGTCAGTCAGAAACATCCAATCAGAACTAGCAGTAATCAGCTAGCCGCCATGCTATCAGGAAGTTTTCATTCAGTAACTCAGGAGTGTTTATTGTAATGGATCCTGTATTTGCCTTTAAATGTTAAGTTTTATACTTGAATTTTTTGGCGATGTTGAGAGATTTTATTTTGACTTTTTACATATTGAAACTCTTCAGAGCCTTCATATGTTTTCAGTCTGTTAAAGATAGTATTATCAATAGCAGTACAATTTGCACAATGCCTGTTTTGTTTTGTTTTTTTCTTGGAAAAAGTTATTAAAAACAAGTTTTTGTCTAAATTAAGGTGAATTCATGGTTCTTTTTTCAACATAATGTAACCGGTAGTGTACATGATTATTTTTATTAAACAAATAATAATTATGTGATA